TCACCCAAAGGAGGTGGTAGGCGCGACCTCCTTTGGTGAAGCGGCAGAGGAAGCGGCACGGAGGAGGAAGGAGCGGCGACTTGCGTGGTATCCGAACACCACCATCAAGGGCGGGCGGGGGGGGGGGGGGGTGCGGCATTGTGCAACAGTTCGTGGTCAGTGCACCAACATCGAGGGCGGGGGTGCGGTGTCGCTGGAGCACCGCGTGAGTACACAAGGTCTGGGGAGGTCTGGGGAGGTCTGGGGAGGTCTGGGGAGGTCTGGGGAGGTCTGGGGAGGTCTGGGGAGGTCTGGGGAGGTCTGGGGAGGTCTGGGGAGGTCTGGGGAGGTCTGGGGAGGTCTGGGGAGATCTGGGGAGGTCTGGGGAGGTCTGGGGAGGTCTGGGGAGATCTGGGGAGGTGTGGGGAGGTCTGGGGAGATCTGGGGAGATCTGGGGAGGTCTGGGGAGGTCTGGGGAGGTCTGGGGAGGTCTGGGGAGGTCTGGGGAGGTCTGGGGAGGTCTGGGGAGATCTGGGGAGATCTGGGGAGGTCTGGGGAGATCTGGGGAGATCTGGGGAGGTCTGGGGAGGTCTGGGGAGATCTGGGGAGGTCTGGGGAGGTCTGGGGAGGTCGTGCAGTACACTCGGAGCACCGCGGGAGCACACGAGGGATACGAGGACAGTGCGTACGGCTGGTGGGCAAGGCATGTGTGCACTCTGCTAGTACTTGTGTGCTCACCACCACGGCTACACTGTGGGGGGTGCCCGAGCCATGCATGTGTGCGTGTGCGCCTGTGCGTGTGTGGGACAGACGGTGTTGTCGTATGCGCGGGGCTACTTGCGGGGACCGAAGACGTAACAGTGGGTACGGCTGCAGACGGTCGCACGCGGCTAAAGGAGTGCCCTCGCAGCGGTGGGTAATAGTTAGCGAAGCTGCCTCCTGGGCAGCGACAGGAGAGTGCAAGGGAGAGGGCTCTGGTGCGTCTCCCTGCCCCGGTTTCTTGCTTCGCTTCCCATCTGCCTGCCTTCGGCCATACTCCTCCGCTGCCTCCTCACTGGCGGAGGATTCGCACGTGTCTCTGTCCTCTGCCCTCTCTTCGGAGAGAGAGTGTCACAGACTCCGCAGTGTGACACACAGACTAGACACTCCGAAGAGCTGCCGGATGGTGGAGCGGCGGGATCGGAGTACATTGAGCGGTGGACACGTCCTAGACTAGACACTGGCCGCTGGGCGGGCGACAAGAAGACGTGCGCCGCCTCTAGGCGTCCCATGCCGTAGTCGGGAGATGTGGGGAGATGTGGGGAGATGTGGGGAGATGTGGGGAGATGTGGGGAGATGTGGGGAGATGTGGGGAGATGTGGGGAGATGTGGGGAGATGTGGGGAGATGTGGGGAGGTGTGGGGAGATGTGGGGAGATGTGCGGAGATCTTCCCGCTTCTAGCAGTGCCAACCCGCCGCACGCCGCGGTCGCGCATCCAAACGCGACCACGCAGAGCTGGACGGCGCCGAGGGCGACAAGCCAGCCGCGCCGCGCAGCAAGTCTACGAAAAAGAAGCGCCCGACCCGTGCCGAGTCAAGAAGAATCGGGCTCAAAAAAGGAAAACACGGCCGCGCGGCGCGCCTAAAAAGGTGGCGAGAAACGAAATCAGGCAGCGCCGCGAGTCTGCCTCGTGAAACGCCGACCTCGGGTCGGGGGGGCGGTATTGAGCCGCGCATATTCAGAGCACCGTGTGAATACGAGGGAGGCGAATACAATGAGAATGATTGCCGCGGAACAGTGCAGCTGAACATGGGACACGTGTCATCTCGACATTTCGCCGGGAGTACAGGAATGCGTACTCGTGTGGCTGTGTGTGTGTGTGTGTGTGTGTGTGTGTGTGTGTGTGTGCGTGTGTGTGTGTGTGTGGCTGTGTGTGTGTGTGTGTGTGTGTGTGTGTGTGTGTGTCGCTGCGTGTGTGCGTGTGTGTGTGTGTGTGTGTGTGTGTGTGTGTGTGTGTGTGTGTGTGTGTGTGTGTGTGTGTGTGTGTGTGTCTCTCTCTCTCTCTGTGTGTGTGTGTGTCTGTCTGTCTCGATGTGTCCAGAGATATGCGTCCGGCAGTGTGTGTGTGTGTGTGCTAGTGTGCACCAGCTCACGCCAGTGTCGTCCCAGTGTGCTGTGACCGCCGCTATGTCTCTTAAGAATTCTAGGGCCGCAAGCCCGCCCCAAAGTGAGAGACCGAGCATCCAGCCAGCGAAAAAGAAGCTCGCCGTCAGCTTCATCGCCGCTGCGTCGCCCGCCGACCCGCCGCCGCCGCCGCCGCCGCCGCCGCCGCCGCCGCCGCCTCGGTCTGCGTCAAACTCGGCGGCCGCCACGGGCGCCGTGAAGGCCATGGACATGACCTGCATGCCGTGCACCGTCCACGCCGCGAACGCGTACGCCGAGGTGATCAGCTGCGCCCGCCCGAAGGCACCGGCGGCCTGGCAGAGGCGGAAGGAGGAGGTAAGGGGAAGAAGACAGCCTTTGTGGTTGTGAGAGCGCACACACGAGCGGATCTGAACCACCAGCAGAGCGCCCCTCGAGCATGCGTGTGTCACTAAACATAGGAAGTGTCGAGAGCCTCAATCTGCTCGTCCATCGAAGGCGGCGGCAGCTCTCGCTCGGAGCTGTCGAGCAGCGCGCCGCGCTCATGGTCGCTGGCCGCAGGGCTGGGAGGGTTGGGCGCAGCGTAAACCGGCATATGTGTTGGGATGTCCTCGCTCGAACGCGCGCCGCCCCAAGAGGGAACACTGCCAAAAAGGCCCGGGCGGCAGCGACTTCGAACTCTCGAGGTCTCTGGACGCGGCTCTGACCTACCTATTCTCCTGTTGGGCCCTGTGAGTGTGTGTGTGTGTGTGACGCGGCTCGCCGCCGACGTACGGTGCGCTCGTCCGACGGTCCGCAGCGTGGCGTGCGCGGCGCTGCGCGCCGCTCTGAGAGCGCTTCTGCGCCTGCACTGCCTGTCTCTGTTGCTGCTGGTGGTGGAGGTGGTGCTGCTGCTGGTGCAGATGCTGCTGCTGGCGCGGCGCGGCTCTGCGACTGGGCTCGACGCGCGCGTCGCGAGCGTCTGACGCGGCGGGCGGCGTCGGGCAGGTGCGCTTCTCTCTCGGGTGGTGGTGGTGGTGCTGCTGCTGCTGCTGATC